AACAATGCCAAATCCATCATGAAATCCAAGAAACAAACAATGGTTCGTACCAAAAACCAAATGGAGCAATTCCATCACATATCCATGGTTTTGTAAAACGCAGGTTTTAACCAAAACCTTATTTTTTAAATCTATAAAGTAAACGACATCTATATGTAGTTAAAAGATGGTTTCATTGATCACACATCCGTAAACCATCAATGTGGTGGTCTTTTGACCCATCCTAATACGGTGGCGATATGTATCTTTAGGAATGCATGGCAATTGTGAAGTGTTGCACATGGTACTGGGTCGAGCTTGACTGCCCTAGTGGAGTCCGAGGCATAGGGAAATGAGTTGCTCACCTCATCCATCCAAAATTCAAGTATTGATGTGATTGAAAGAGGAAAAAAAAGAAGAAGAAAAAAAAAGAGAGAGTTTCCACCAATATAGACCACGTGCTTGCCTTATCAACCTTAGTTAGGGCAAGTATAATTGCGAGTTTCTGAACACTAGCCCACCTCTCAAACTCTTACGTATAGTTTGCTATAAATGAATTTTATAAATTTTAAGAAATTCATTTGGAAATGAAATCTTTTTGTGTTTGGTATTTTTTTGTTCTAATTTTGAGTTTTGAGAAATTGGAATTAGTTATAGTTTTTCGGAGAAATTGAGATGGAATTTTCAAATGAATTCCACAAGTATTTACCAATTATAATAGAATTACATAATTATAAGCTTGTTTCAGGTCTCCTCAGCCCTTAATTAATTGGCACAAGGTTGTTTGGGGAACCATATAGCCCGAAGCACAGTATGTTATTATGGCTTGTAGTTCTCAATCGGATTGTAACAAAGAATAAGTTGCAAAGTTGGGGGTTGGTTGGAGAAGGTCGTGTGTTCTTTATCCAGGTGAAGAAGAGTAAAGGGATCATATTTTCTCTATCTGCCCTTACAGTAGGCATATTATATGCACTGTTCTTTCTCGTTTCTGCAGTATCCCTGTCTTTCATTTAATTTGGGCAGTACGGCAGTGGAATAATGGTACAGGGACAAAAGGTGAAGGACGATTGAGGTGGTCTTTATCATCAGTTATGTGTGGAGAGAATGTTGTTGCAGAACTCATGATGTTATGATTCCTCCCCCCCCCCCCCCCCCCCCCCAAGTATGCTAGCTAGAAGAATTGAAGAGGAAGTAAAATGGATACTAGCTGCCAAACCTTGCTGATCAGTTGCTGTAATGATGCATAGATAGGTTTTCTAATCTTGTTTCTTAGTAGTTTTGTTCATTCATTGAGTTGTTGCTATTATCTATACGGTTTGTACTTGGAGAAGGGGTTAGCAGTTTGCAAACCTAGTGCTTAATGCAATTTGATTAACCATAAAAAAGTATCCTCATTTATTAACTAAATTACTTCTACATTAATTATGTGGTGCCAATTCATACATTATGAGGAACGTCAAGGGTAAAATACCTCGGTTGCCACTTACATTTGAGAATTGGGGTAGACATATCATTTAACTTTGAATAGGACGTCGGGTACCACTAAACTCTATTATATGTGCACCCGGTACCACTTAAGTTTACTGTTAAGTGCATTTCGTTAAAGTTGACAGAATATTCTTGGAATATTCTATTTTCTTAATTTCATAATTGGTGCTTCTACTTTTCTATTGTAAGAAAATCATTTCGACTTATAAAAAACATCATTTTTTTTATTGTTTAGTTAGAATCCTCTTTTGAATACTTGATACCAAATCAATTTTTAAAAAGAAAAATTAGAATCAATTATCATTATAATTATTTTCAATTATCATTATGTGTTCTAATAATGAATTATTCCATGAATGTTGTAACTTAACAATGTTGTAACTTTTATAGTCATATTTTCTTTTCTACATTTTTAGCGAATGTAGTAGCTTTTATATTTTATTTATTATTTGGTTACTTTTCATCTCTTTTCGTTCTAAATTTTTTCAATTAGTGGAATATATTTAATTTTTTTATTGCGCTCCATTTATCCTTATTTGATTTTTGATGTATCGATGATCAATTAGGTTCTATTTTAACTATTTATAATGGTGCTTCTGATTGAATTAGAGGGTTTAAATAGATATTCTAATATTTATTTTAAATATTTATTATTATTCTAGTATATTTATTATTCTTCTTGATATTCGTTTATTAATTTTACTAATATATCTATTTTATTGACAAATTTTGATTAGTCATTCTAGTAATAACATGTTTAGAAGGTTTTCTAATTATTATATTAGATAAAACTTGTTGAAATATAGTTTTGGATGTTTTTAAAAATTTTGAGTAATAAAATGTAATTAAAAGTTTGGGTTGGATGAAAAAGTAGACGGATGCACATTTTGTTGACATTAATGGTATCCGACGCCCTATTCTAACTTAAGTGGTATGTCTACCCCAATTCTCAAACTTAAGTGGTATCCGAGGTATTTTACCTAGGAACCTCAACAAGAATTTGATTGCAACGATAGTTGCATATGCTGGTTATTTGATATTTATGCTTCAATTCTAAATGTATGCTAACATGATTTGGGAATTCAATTCATTTATTTCTAAAGATTTGAATATGAAATACCAAACATAGGAATTCATTTGACAATAAATTCTATGTGGTAATTTATTTTAAAATGAAATAAATTCTTGATTCATTTAGTACCAAACGATCTGTAAGTGTGCATAGCATCACGAAGCATCAATAAACTAAGTTTTAAGGTAATCAAGTCTATGCTAGAATTGTGCACCTTAATAAGTTGGATCTTCCCATTGTGTGGGAGATCACCAAACTTTTTAAGTTTGCAAGCAAGTATAAATTAATTATATCCCTCCATGATGTGAGAGATTAAGATAAGCAAGCGTAAGAACTATCAAGTTAATAAGTACGAAAAAGTAAGAACAAGTAAGAGCACATTTAATCCTTCTTTACCTAGCTATGCACGAGGTACAGGATGCCCATTGTGTGGGTGTTTTCGCCTTAGATAGGCGCATGATCCCCATTGTGTGGGTGTTTTGCCTCATATAGGCGCATGCTCTCCATTGTGTGGGTAGTCATGTTAAGATATATAATGACAAGTTTTACCGGACAGTTACGCTACCAGAGTGGAGGACGGGGCCTCATTTTAAGATAAAATACGCAGGACACTTATAATGTAAACAAGAATCATAAGTTCAAGGACTCCTAATAATATACACAATAATAATAATAATGTACTTAAAGCATTGCATGTGCATGACTGTCTATTTATATATGATAACGAAATTAGTATTAGGACTGACCTCATCCCCCACATTCAAGAATTATAGAATCTCCAGAGCATGCTAGAAGTTCATAGTTCGTGACAAGGATCAATGGCCTTAGAGGACTTCAGTACAAAGTTTCCAATCTCTTGTATTAGTAGGACTCGAGACTTGATGCGCATTAATTAAAGTTTTTTTTTATGATTTTCGCTTTTTCAAGTTTCAAGAAACTGTTATTTGAATTTCAATGTATTTATTATGAATATTTAAATAAAGTTTCTCACTAATTTTCTCAGTTTGTTTGGTTCTTATTTTGGTTAACAATTTATCAAAGGCATTTTAGTAATATTAGTACCCGGCCGGGTTAGGGTGTTACAAAAGCTTTTCTCAACCGCACTATTCTTCTTAACTAATTCTTCTAATTTCAAATTTTTTTCATAAGTTCAGCAAGACTTTCTAGTAGGGCTCATAAACGGTTATCCAGTTAACGGTGTAACCGATAACCGAACTGGAACCGGTGCTTCACGGTTACACCAATAACCGATTAAATGATAAACGGTCGATTCCCGGTAGTCAAATTTAGCTAATAACTAACCGATGATTAAACGGTTAATAACCTACGGCTAAATGGTTAACCGATTAATAAATTACGACCATCCTCATAGTTAGAGCCAAGAATAATAGATCTCAATGAGTTGCAAACATAGGCAAAAGATAATTGGGTGTTTGAAGGCTTACTAGACCACTGGCCTATCCAAGTTGTAATAGTGACTTAGATTCAAATGATGAGAATAATTTAAAGGAAAAGTTTTAGAAGGAATGGAGTAGAAAGTCAGACTTGCACACAGTTGCTCGACAAGAATCAGTAACATTGAGCTTTTGTAGAAAATTTCACAATTGAAAGAAGTTGGTCTTGTGTTGGTTAGGTTATCGATTGATTATTTTGGTATAACGTTGTCTTGGTTAACGGTTATTCAGTTTACCGGCAAAATAATTGAGAACCGACTATACAGTTACAGTTAACCGACTAATTTAAATGGTGTTGTTAACGATAAGCACAAAATACTTAACAGTTAACCGAAAACCAACTAAACGGTTTCGGTTATAACCGAACCGAACCGATTATCAGTCCTACTTTCTAGCACAAGCATTGGTCATATTAAATATCCTTTAATTTATTTTAATGCATCATCAAATCGGATGTTGGAGATAGTACTGTAATATATTACCACAGTGGTTGTTAGGGGATAATTTTCCATGTTTGGTTTTCAACAAGGAAAGGAAAGTTTCCAATAGAAGATACATTTGACGTGGAGATAATGACACTGATGTGATGAACAAACGGCAAAATTTTATTTTTTCCCAATTTGTTACAACGTTTGGTGAACGAAGTGTGGGTTTTAAGTTTATTAAAACGATTCCCTTTCATAGACCAATTTTAAAATTCTAATAAAAACTTCCGCGGATGAATATGTTTCAACCGGATACAATGGGTGTTGTCAACCATATCTCATTCTGTAAAACACGCAGAGATCTGGTTGGCAGTTAGTTGACCATTAATTGGAACAAAACTATGAAAAGAGTTAATGACCACTTGCCCAACTTCCCTACTCAACAAGCTGTATATAAATGAGTTCTGAAGTGCTCAGATATCCCCAATCTCCATTGACAACCATCTATTCTTGGCAAAGAAAAGAAAATAACAAAAAAAAAAAAAAAACATTTATATCACCCCCCGCGGCCTCGTCGTCCATATGGAGATGTTCCCGGCAGCAGCAATCATTTCCCTACTCATCTACTTGCTTTACAAATTCCTGTACCGCAAATCAGACGACAACTGTTACCTACTAGGCTACCAGTGCTACAAAGCTCCCGACGAGCTCAAGGCCAACGCCGGAACCTCCGCCAAAATCGCCCTCCGGAACAAAAACCTCGGCCTGGAAGAGTACAGGTTCCTCGTCCGGACCATGATCCGCTCCGGCATCGGCGAGGAGACCTACATCCCCAGGAACTTCCTCGAAGGCCGCGAGGCCTCCCCGACCCTACAAGACTCCCTCGACGAGATGACCGACGCCACCTTCAGCAACCTCGACGCCCTGTTCGCCACGTCAGCGGTCCGCCCGTGCCAGATCGACATCCTCGTCACCACGGGCTCCTTATTCGCCCCGGTCCCTTCCCTCTCCAGCCGGATCGTCCACCGCTACAAGATGAAGGAAGGGATCAAGTGCTTCAGCCTCACCGGGATGGGGTGCAGCTCCAGCGTCATCGCCGTCGACCTCGTCCGCCAGACCTTCCGGACGCGCCCCAACAGCTTCGCGGTCGTGGTTGCCGTGGAGCTCACGGCGCCCAACTGGTACACGGGGCAGGACCGGTCCATGATGCTGTCCAACGTTTTGTTCCGAGCCGGCGGGAGCTCCCTCCTCCTCACCAACCACCCGTCCTGGAAGGAGCGGGCCATCATGAAGATGGAGGCGGTGGTCAGGAACCACGTGTCGACCGACGAGGCGTACGGGTGCGCCATCCACGTGGAGGACGAGCAGGGCTACCCAGGCGCCCGCCTCACCAAGTCCCTACCCACGGTGGCCATGCGCGCTCTGGAGGGGAACCTCAGGGTGCTGCTCCCCAAGGTTCTCCCACTGTGGGAGATCCTGCGTTTCGTCGTTGCTAGGGCTAGCTACAGATGGAGGATCAAGAAGGGGGGCGACGACGATTCGAAACCGCCGCCCCCAGTGATGAACATGAGGACCGGGATCCAGCACTTCTGCCTGCACACGGGTGGGAGGGCGGTGATCGACGGGTTCGAGAAGAGCTTCGGGCTGAGGGAGTACGACATGGAGCCCTCGAGGATGACGCTGCATCGGTTCGGGAACACGTCGTGCAGCAGCCTGTGGTATGTGTTGGGGTACATGGAGGCGAAGAAGAGGCTGAAGAGAGGGGACAGCGTGATGATGGTAGGGTTGGGGGCGGGGTTTCTGTGCAACACTTGCGTCTGGACGGTGATGAAGGACTTGGAGGACGGGAACGTGTGGGCGGACTGCGTCCATCGGTATCCTCCACAAACGGTGGGCAACCGCACGGCCGAGATATTGAGTTGGATCTTTGACGATTGCATGAGTTTCATCAATTTCAAAGATTATGATCGCGCCCTACTCTTTTCTCGTTAAAGAGAGAGAGAGAGGACGACAAGTATCTATGATGCTAAGAATAGAATTAAAATTCCGGCTAGCTACGTGTGGCCTGATATAGACATAAAGTTGGACGTCTGAATGTCTACAAAATATTAAGGTATGGAATGTTAAATTTATAATTGTTAGTCAAATGATAAAACAACAAGACAATTCTATATATAGTATGTTGTATTCATCCAAATGTTGTTATACAATTTCCTACTTTACTTTGTATTCTTCTAATGCATATCTCTTTACTATGATTTACATTAAAGTTACCCTTCTATTATTGAATACTTTTCGAATATATCCTTCTGTTTATTTTTTTTTATTTAAACAGAGCCATTAAGTGCTGTCGAACCATAAACTAGACCATGTGATCGTCTTTTTGCTAAGGTTGTCAACCCGTGACTCGTCGATTGACCAATTTTTACCCTGACCCGCTGAGAAAAATGGGCTCGTACACACCCATCGCGTGGACCTGCTGCAAGGTTTTCGCGGGCTGGAGGTTAATTACACGGTGTCGTTTTTTCCCCATTTGGTTTGCAAAATGCATTTATATTTCTGTTTTCCTCTTCGCCCGCCTCAAATTTTGAAATTCTAAGTTGAATATTTATGTTATATAAGTGTGTGTGAATTTTCATTATATGTTGCATGCATCCAAGTACAACATGTTATTTTTGTGTAATTTGATATATTATTGCTCTTATATTAGATGAGATTTGATGTACTTTATAAACAAGGTTCAAAAAGGCGCTAGGCGTAAGGCGGGCGTTGAGCCTTTGCCTTGTGCCTAGCTCGCCTAGACGTAGACTAAGCGTGCCTAGGCGTTGGAAGAAAAATAGCTATTCGCACTGCATGATGAGTGAAATAATTATCTACAACACTTCCTCACTTCAGTTAAAATGATTAATAACTTACTCAACACTTAATGACAAGAACATAGCTCGCGAATTCATAGAATCATAGCTCAATAGCTCACAAAGTTCTTGAGTTGTTGAAAATATTGCAATAGAAAATTGATTTCGTAGTTGATGTTAATTTTTGGCCTTTAATATTGACTTACTAGCTCCATCTAGTAATGTTAAGGAGAGACTTATATGTCGCCTTACTCCATGACGTGTTCTAGTATCTAATTAGGCGTGAAACCCCTAGACGAGGCGTTTTGCTATTGCCTTGCGCCTAGGCGTGCCTAAGCGTGCCTTTTTGAACCATGTTTATAAATGTATGAACAATATAATGATTTTTTTTTATATATCCGAATAAAAAAGAGCTAATCAGCAGTCAGACCATTAACTCTCAACTGTTCGACCGGACCAACGGGCTAAATCGTGCCGACAACCTTGCTTTTTGCCCTAACAACTTGCACTTCACCTCCGCTCTTGAAAGTGCGAAAATGGAAAATTAAAGCAAAATCCCAAAAGAAGAAGCATAACGACCCTCCCGTCCTCTGCCGATGTCCCCACGGCGACGGGAATAGCTGCGCAACAATGACAACGAGAATGGTACAGCTTGACGTTGTTGTGTTTGGTTAATAATACAGAAACCAACGGGCCCCAATTGTTATATTTAGAGAGACTTTGTTAAAGTCAAAAAGGTCCTTTAAAGAATCGATCTACCTTCCAATTTATTCTACACTAGAGGTTGATGATGATGTGAAGGAATTGATTTTCAAGCCACCCACTTACGTAAAGTTGCATTTGCCTCTCTGTCGCCGCTCTACTTTGGTCTCAATTATTGAGTTGGCCTTGCTAGCTGTTTTGAGGTTTCAAAATTCAAGAGGGGGAAAGGGTAAACGGGATGCACGGCGGGGTCACGGGGAGTAGCCTCAGCCCAAAATGGGGTCGGAGGTTTTATGTTCGATGTAATTGGCCTTGCTGGAGATGGGAGTTGAAGGGTCGGGGATGAGGAAATGTCGGCAAAGGAAACACGACGATGTATAGAAGAGCATTTTCATCAATGCAAAACCAATTGTATATGTTGTATTTATCGGCAATTTAACAATTATCTATGTCAATGCAATTCACGAAAGGGTCCAAAATCCACCAGCCAGCTACGTGAATTGGATATAGATTTTCATTATATGAAAGCTTGCACAATTACAAGCAGTTCATGCACTGCTGGATTCAGGGGTGGCCCCCGGCCCCGACCCAGCCCTCATCTGGATCCGTAGTTAGTATAGTCCTTATGAAATTTTTGATTTTAGACATTCGACCGAGTGTTATTTTATGATAAGATTGGGTTTAACAAGAAAAATTATCAATTTGAACATATTCAAATCACTACTCTAAATGTAGTCTAGAAATTTTAGTCCCAAAGATTATGCGTCTAAGAAAAACAATGAAACCTAAAATTCTAAAAAGTTTAAAACGTAAAAGACTAAAAGAAATATGAGGTTTGTTCCCTTAAAAAATTTACTAGAGCAGCTGGTGTGCAGGAATGGACACACAATGCAAATTGATTAGTCGATTGATTTATCTAGTGTTGATGTTGCTCGTTTCAACAACTACTACGAAGAGAACCTTTTCAACAATGAAACATGTGAGAACTGATTTGCTCAACAAAATGAGCGATGAATTTCTTCCCGATTGCTCAAGTATTTTATTTGAACGCAGTGTCTACTATTGGTATGGATGTAGACTCCATTATTGATGTAACACCCCGACTCTTTTTGAAAACCAAACAAAAACTAAAACCGAAAACTGGTTACTCTGGAGCAACCCATACCACATTTTAAAATAAACAAACTGACATTACTTGAGAATTTTAAACGAAAGCCCAAACACTTGGGGCAAAATCTCAATCTCAAACACTTAAAACAACTTCACACAAATCTTGAACCTTGAATCTCCAGTACATAAACTCATAATCATGAACAAAATAATCAAACTAAATCTAGCTCTAACTCCTTGTTGTTTTCCCTAAGGTCTCGTCCATGCTGGTGCGGCAGCTTGCCTAGCCCTCCCTCTTCTTGAGATCCGCCTCTGCTAACCCCTCCTTAACCTGGTGAGTGAGAAGGGGTCAGTCTCGTCGTTACTTCCTAAGGTCTTACCCTAAGCAACCTCCTTACTAAAACACATTATTAGCGTTTCCTTTCCTTAGATGAAAGTCGTTCTCACTTTCATCCTTAATACTTTGCTTCCTTAATATCTTATTTCAACACGAACTCATAGAAGTTCTCGACTTCTATCCTTAACTCAACACAAACACTATAGGACCACCGCGTTACGTCTCGCCGTCTGGTGTCCTACCCTAGTATGCCAACCGCATTATGTCTCGCCTTCCGGTTGCATACCGAAACTCGGCAATGGCACTGCGTTACGTCTCGCCGTCCAGTCCATGCCCGGTCAACTACTGTGTTACGTCTTGCCGTCCAGTAGTGACCCCAATATACTCGATCAACTGCTGCATTACGTCTCGCCGTCCAGCAGTGATCCGACCATCTACCGGGTCCAGTAGTGGCCCAACCGCCCGGGGGTTCCTCATACCATCAATCCATACAACACCACATACATTCATACAAATACAAGCACAACGTGTGCCTCCACCTTCAGAAGGCGGTGGGATGCATCAAACACATAACGCGCAAACTCACAAATTTACTAAATAATAACTTAGCTTGAACGAAAAGCATAAATTAAAAAGACCTCGACAGAGATTTTACCCCCTTTACACTCACCTTTCAGACTGTTATTGTTGATGATGCTTACGTTAAGTAGATCTCATCCATCCCATGTTAGTGCCTTCATATTCCAAGTCGACACATGTCCATTGGCTTCACTCAACCCCATGCTTAAACCTTCACCCAAATCCTGCGGCAGCACCAGCCAATGTCGAGTATGCAAAATATATATACATGTCAAGAAAATCAATTGAGTGACCTACTCCCTCCATTTCACTCCTGTGATATATATAAATAATACATTGTATCCCGAGCTGCTTTCCATCCAACTCCCAATTATTCGAAGGTCCCGATTAACCCAATCACTACTAACATGAAGAGGGAAATAGGTCCTTACCTGAACCGCATCCTTCCTACGTCACCGTAGCACATCCAATCCCATCCGGGATCTCGTCCATGGCCATTAACAATCAAATTACGATTTACGAGTCGCGCATTTGGTGCTATCTGTGCTTTCCATCATTCAGAGACAACCGAGGAAGTTCCTCGTCAAATAACAAGTCCATCATTCCATCGCATTCCACTCCGCTGGTCTTTCTCTTCCGCTCATTTGTTTGGAAAAAAGCCCAGGACGCCAGCTCCTCTCTATTCGTAAGCGCCTCGCATCCCATGAATGAGAGAGACAAGATGGACATGGTGCAAGGGAAAGATGGGCGGCTGAACTAGTCTCCTTGGTGGGGTTTTAGTTTCTAGGTTTAATCTAAAGTGGGTAGGTGTAGCCAAATGATGTGTGAGGGGTAGGGGCGGGGGATTTTCTTAAGCGGCCTCTTAGGCTTCCCTTGCTTGGATGTGAAGCCTTCAATTAATTGGCCAAAAACCATAAATGGAGAATTGGTGGTTTGGTCCAAACATATTATATATACATCTAATCTCATAATCTATTTTGATATTCTTAAAATTTTCATTGATGAATTTTACAATGTTTGTAAGCTCGTGTGCTTCTAGCTACGAATTGAATTTGTACCATAATTTCAAAGATACAAGTTCAGTTTGTACCATAAAAGAATTTGTATAAAAATATATAGGTACACATTGAATATGTATCGTGACGTTAAGGTACATGTTTAGCTTGTACCAACAAAGAAAGCTGTATGAAAATGTATAGCACAGGTTGAATCTCTACCAGTTTGTTGAAGGTCTAAATTCAATTTCGTCCCAGTTTCATCTCGAAAAAACGTCTTTGCTACTCCGAATAAGCAATTTTCGATTTTGTCAAACTTTGGAAGGCCATAACTTGGTGCCGCAATTCGAACGTCATAATTTGTTTTTTATTTCGATAACTTTTTAAGGACTACTACTTTTATCATATCCATAATTTCAGAATGTATGTGGATTTGTGAAAAGTAAAGGCAAAGTTATTCCTAAAACCCTGTAAATCCAAAAATATTTCTTTTTGAAAATTCCTTCCTTGTAAAAGTTGTAGTCTTTAAAAATTTATGCGCAATAAAAAAGATTTATGACGTTTGGATTGCATAGCACAAAGTTATGGTCATCCAAAGTTTGGCAAAATCAAAAAATTGCTCATTCGGAATAACAAATGACGTTTTTCCGGGATAAAACAGGACCAAACCACCTATTGCTTGCAAGATAAAAAAAAATTATGCGGAATCAAAACGACAATAATAGTAATTAACGGCCGACCAATGTAGAAGCAACTATTCCTAATCAACACGGCAATATCGAGTAACTAAACAACAATAGTAATTATCAAGGAAAGTTATCACCCGTACGAGGATGAGGAAAAAAGGCAAACATGCAGTCACTCTCAAATTCCAAAGCTCTTCTCAGGGAAATTTCATATTTATCCCTCATTTGCAGTTAGTTTGGTACTTCTTGGTTATAGATCATAAAATGTTAAGACTAGTGAAAGTTGGCAATGAAAAAACACTATAAGAAATCAAATACAACACATTATACACTTTTAAAATTTTCTCAATTCTCTTAAGTATCCACATCGGTCTTGATTTTCCACGCCCTTTTATACGTTTGCATAAACCTATATATATATTTTTTTTTTGATAGAATGCATAAACCTATATTAAAGACCACATATATTGGACATGTTCAGTTTTCGAGAGCTTGATCACTTTATCAATGCGGAGCTTAATATGATGCATACCCAATTACCGGGAAAAAAGACCACATATATCATAAGATAAATTGTGAATACATTAATGACCTAAACTGGTGGTTCGACCATGAAAACCTTCTATTGGAGACTAATACGGTAGATAGGATTTAGCGGTAAAAAATTGTTGTAACACGATTTCAGCATAAAAGACCATGCAGCTGACTTTTTGTACAACCTCCGGTCCGATTTTATAATTTTCCCAAAAAAATTATAATAATTTAAAGGATTAATAGCATTTCATACCCGTCTATTATGGTTAGTTAACAAACGTATCTTTCTATAATTTTTTGCACAACATACCCTTCTATTATTAAAATATAATAAGTTTACCCTTTTATCCAATTATCTGTTAAGTGACCGTTAAAGAAGATGTAAAATGACTTAATTACCTCTCATTAACTACTAAACACATCTCATTTAATTTTTTATTTATTTATTCTATGTCTCAAATCGATTAATTAAAAATATCAAATTCCTAAACCGTCCGTCTCCCTCCCTCCACTCGGCTGTGGAGACGCCTGCTCCGGCATCTCCTTGCCGCCGGCTGGAGTACCAGAGAGAAGGTTTACGAGGAACATCTCGGCGACCTTCCTAGCGCCGAAGACCTTATGGATGGCGGATAGCTTGTCGGGCTCGTGAGGGGAGAAGGGGCATTAATCCTCGGCACATCTTCGGAGGGGGAGCTTGCAGGCGGCGCAGCTACTACTCTCCTCCCATTAATAATGCGTTGATATCTCTCTCTCTCTCTCTCTTGACCTTCTTCTCTACCTGTTGCCACCTAAAATTAATTTGTCCTTAATTAAGTGCCGCATTAATTAGTCTCGGCATTTAATTCGATACCGCGGGTAAAAAAACGGTGTCGTTTGGAGTTGAGCGGTGTCGTGGAGAGTTAAAACGGTACCGCGAAACAGAAAAACGGTACCGCAAGGAAGCTCAGCGGTACTGCGGCACTGGAAACGGCACCACTCACCAAAAAACAAAAGAGGGGCCGCGCGTTTAGTTGAGTGTTGGGGAAGGAGTTTTGTTTGCTCTAATTAATTATTATTATTTTTTTAATTCCTTGTTGGATAGGGAGAAGCGGCACCGCGGAGAGCTAAAACGGTGCCGCGGAATTAAAAACGGTACCGCGAGTAAGCCCAACGGTACCGCGGATTAGCAAACGACAGTGTTTAAAATAACAAACAATGCCGCAAAAGGGAAAAAAACAATCGGAGCTGTTGTGGCGCTAGCGATGTCGTTGGCCATAGCTAGTGATGGCCGGATTAATTAATTAATATTTTAATAACTATTTAGCACGGTGTTGTTTAGTTGAAAACGATGCCGCAAGAGGAAAGAAACGACACTGCGGATTATAAAACAATACCGGGAGTAGGTCAAACGATGTCGCAGCAGTTAAAACGACAGTGTTAAAATTAAAACAATGTCGCGAAGCTAAAAAACTTAACGACATCGCGGGACAAGGAAACGATGTTGTTTAACTAAGAACGACGCCGAGGGGTGAGAGTTTGGGGGAGAGTTAACAATGAAGGCTGATTTAATTAATTAGTATTTTATAAGTATTTTAGACGGTGTCGTTTAATGAAAAGCGATGTCGCGGAAAAGTAAAACGACATCGCGGGAGTGGTAAGAGTTCGGCCAAAGGCAGCCCGCCAAGCCCAACGACGGCGCAAGAGTAGAGAACGACATTGTTTGATGGACTAACAATGTCGTTGGTTAAACCGGGTCTGGGCAGTTGAGTTGGATTATAAAACTACATCGGTTGGTGAAAGGCGATGTCGTGGTATTGGTGAAGCGTCATCGTTACATGGACAAGGTTGTAAGTCGTTTCGCCAAGTTTCTGCAAAGCAAGAGCGGTTTCAAGGGCATGTGATTATCACGCAACAAGGAGGAAGTTACCTGCACGGTTGACAGGAATGAAGACGTGGGAGACTGATGACTCGATATTTGCACATGTTTTCCCCTTTGTTTCTTGATCGTTTAAGCTTGCATTATCGCTTCTTTGGCCTATTTTACGCTAGGTTGTGTTTCTTTGTCACATTCAGGCCCTAGCACATAAAGTGAAGCGTAGGCGCAAGTTTCAAGTCAATCGGAGATCATTTGACAATTCGGGAGAAGAAACACGAGCATGACCTGAGGAATAATGGATTTCTACCTCATATAATGGACAAATTATCATGGAAGTTTGTTATGAAAAGAAAGAGGACGAGACTACGAGCGTCTGGGTTCAAACGGCGACTGATTTGGAGTCCGGACGAGGGAGAAACGAAGCTTTGAACAGGAGCGGAGGAAGAATTACGGGCAGGAGAATTACGACCGTAATTTCCCCTCCCATGCCCGTAATTTCACTGCCGAGAGGAGCTTTGGGTGCGCTGAAACTTAACCAAAACGCGTGTTTTGGGCAAAATACAGGCATGGAAGAATTACGACCGTAATTCAGCCCGTAATTCTCCCAGAATCGGGTTTTTGAGGCCAATTTCGAGCCTGGAGAGAGAGAGCTGGGTTTTGGATCCCAAACACCCAAGGGACGAACCCTAGAGAGAGAGAGCGACTTGGGAACATTCTTGGAGCTATTTTGGAGGATTTCTTTGCCATTGGAGCTCGGGAATCAAGCTTGGAGATGGAGATTGAAGATCTAGATCAGATTTCTGCAGTCTCTCTCTTCTCTATGGAGTAACTTCCCTTCACTTAGGGTTTTGAGGAACCCTAGTTCCATGAGTTAGGATCTTTCTTGTATGAAGTTTTGGATGCTATATTGTTTGATTATAATCGAATGATGCATGTTTATTGAGTCAATTGAAGTCTGATCAACTTTTCCTGATTCCTGCTGCAATCTGAGATAGATAGAATCTGATTAGGTTGCTAGAGTCTCATCATTCGGTAGTAGAAGATTGGCTATACGAGAGTTAGCCAGTTTACTGCTTTGTACTGGAATCCAATTCCAGTAGTGGAGTTCTGTGCTTATTGCTTCAGCTTTCTATCCCGGTGAAGACTAGTCGTCTGCCGGATAGTTAGACTGAGAGGGCTTGGTCAGCTTAAGAGATTCCAAGCTACTGTCGGATCTTCCGCAGTTTAATCAACAGTAAATCAACCAAAAGGAATTACAACTTGGACCTAATTGAGGAGCTAGGGGGAATCATACCTAAGTGAGTTCCCAAACTGTAATTAGTAGTTTTAATTAGTTTAGTTAGTAGAGTAGTTTAGTTAATCAATCCTTAATCTAGTTTGCTAGATAATGAACTGAAGCTGAGTAATAGTAACTCTAGAGACCCGTGGATACGATATTTATTACTTGTGCCACTATACTGCAGTCCCTTTCATTGGTTACACTTGGCCATTGTTAGGTGTTGTGTTTTAGAGCATCAAGTTTTTGGCGCCGTTGCCGGGGACTTTCTAGATTATTAGGAAAGGCAGAAGTTTGTTACTTTAGCATTTTTCTTTTCTTTTCCACCCTTGCTTTTCACTTGGGTGTTTTTTGTTTTTGTTGGTGCAGATCTGAATCATGGATCCTCATGGCTTCTCCAACCAGTGGGGGTATCCACCACCATCCGAGTGGTATTATCCCGAGACTCCCCGGAGCAATCAAGGAGGAGAAGACTATGGATTCGGGTTCCAGTACCAACCCCCTTTCTACGGAGAACAACCAGACCCCTGGGCATATCAAGAACAACCTCATTACCAAGAAGACTTTCTCCCACAACCAGAAGGGCCGTCGGAGCTGGAGTTATCCATGGCGGCCTTCACGGGCCACTCTGCAGAGCCATGCTACACTTCACTGGAAGATTCGAACAAACAATTAAGGCTTCTCGTGGAGCAGTTTTCTCAAGACACTGAGACATCATGCTCCAAGATGGATCTTCAAATCAAAGCCCTTGCTGCTTCCGATCCCTCATTTCTCCATGATATGGAGGAGACTGTTCAGCGCTCAGCGAAGCAAACAGAGTGGGTGGAGCAAGTTTGCTCACATCTTGCTCAAGATCACCTTTCTGCTACCACGCTAGAAGAGGTGGAGGATGACAAAGGCTATGGGGATGTTGAGGAGCATACCGAAGTTATTACAGAGAACTCCCATGATAATCATGATCAGGAAAGTCCTCTGGTTGCAGATCACACAATTCCTTATTTCTGCTCTAACATGCTGGGCCCGAGCGAGGAGATGCAAGATGATCTCATTGAAGAAATTACATGGCGACTTGCTCTCCAATTTGTGCTAGAAGAAGAAGAGCAAGAAAGGGTGCAGAAAGAAGTTGTGGAGGATGACGAAAGTGAAGCAGGAGGAGTTCTTGATCATTTCCCAGGGGTGATACCACATGAAGAAGAAAGGGGGGTTGAAGAAGCAATTGGCGTCCAGGCTGAGGATGAAGTTGAGGTGGAAGAGGCTTGCACCGGCCCTATGTTACATTTGATATCTCCACCAAACTTTGAGGAACTGCTTAGCAAGGACCCATTTGCAGTGTCTCTTTGCCAGACCAAAGCCACATCGATATCGGTCCCTCTTGGTGGATGCGACGGTGGTAAATCGATGTTGTCATATATGGTTTTGGGCTATGAGACGAGAGAAGAGAATAAGAGGTATAGAGGGTGGAGACTTCATCTGCATCAAGTACATGAGCCTTCATCACCTGCCACACCACATGCTCGTGACTTGAGACTCCACCTCATCGACGAGAACCTCAACTTCAAGGAGGTTCTAGCATGGACCGAAACTTAGGAGCCATCGTCCGGCTCACAACGTGAAAGAAGCGCTTGTTGGGAGGCAACCCAACCAGTCGGTTTGCATTTCTTTCTCTATTTCTCCTCGGTTGAGTCAGTTTTGTTATTTGATTTTAGAGTCAATAACTCAACCTTTGTGAGATTTTGTGTGGTGTTTGTGGTCTGACCACTCTCTCCTCCTGGAATACACCGCTTGCCCCGTCCACAATCATTCACCCTGGATCTGGTAACTTCGTTCTACCCTCCTTATCTTTCCTCCATTGAGGACAATGTCGTGGTTAAGTGTGGGGGGATGTTCGATTATGTATGCGGGTGAATGTTTGTAATCCTATCTTGTAGTAAAACCGGAAATCCGGGTATCGTCTCTCAGGGACTGGTACAACCTTATATTCTATTAATTCTATGGAGCAAACTATAGGTGAAAATGATTTGAGTGATGAAACTACTAGCTAATAATTAAATAAAACAAGCAAATTAAAGTTGTCGGGAGAAAATCAATGGGAGAAAGCTCTGGGAGAAACACCGGGATTCACTACCTATCCTATCCAGATTAATTCACATATTCCAATCAATTTAATCCATACCTCTACAGCCAGGATATCACTACTGTGCTAGCTATCCCTGTCGGGAATTACTACGTACTAAGCAATTAATTCAAATCCTACTGTCGTAGCTCAATGAGTTAATTATTTAGTCTGAAGACCGATATCCTAATTAAGACCGCATAGCACCTTATTTAATCCACTGTCGCTTCGATAAGTTACTATGTCACATGAAATATGTTCAGTTATTAGGGTTTCACTGTCGCTAATAACCTAATTAACTACGATTCATTGTATTGGTGGCCAGTCAACACAAAGCATTAAGAAATTTCATGCAATAGAGATTGGAAGAAAAGAATCATGAATCAATCCATCAAATCAAGAAATAGCTACATCCTATGGTGTTTCCCCCAGAAATTGGGGTTTAGTTCATGACGAAATTAAGATAAATCGATAGGGTTTTGTTCATCATGTTCTAAATCAACAATACACAACTAGTTCGGTTAAGAGAATCCAACCAACTAATCGCTCTCGTTGAACTCAGCTCAGGTAGCCTTGAAAATCTCAATCGCCGATGGAAATCGACTGATCGCCTTTTGCTCTGTTGCTGTGCTGCGCCGCTTTTCTCCCCAAAGAGTTCTCGCCCCAAAAAAAAACCTTCTGTCGCCTGCTGCGCCTCTTGTCCAATCGCTCCTTGCCTACCGCCAGAGAATTCCTCCCCTCATATTAATTCGCCTCCAGCTCAATTAGAAGCTCCGGCCCAAATATTGTCCCTCCACAAAAATCAAGTCCCCTCTCTCAATAGAAAAGCCCAGCCCGCCAGTAAATTCCGTGCCCCTGGAGAATTCCTTTCATCAGTCATTTTCTTCCGTCCAAAACCAAAGTCTCCGGCCCATTAATTGCTTCCCCACTTTCATTAATTACTTCCCCCATCATTCCGTCCAAATTTCCCCACCTTTTGGTCCAAGTCCCACCTCTCAATAGAGGCTCGGCCCACACAAAAATAGTCCTCCCTAGCCCATGTTATTAATCACCATCCAGCTGGGCTTAAAGCCCAGCTTTCGAGAAATGTTTATCGGTGCAACGTCTTTTTCGTGTTTTCTTCACCTGTAATACATCAAACTCATAGCACTTGGCAGTAATGGTTTTTCAACCATTCTCGGGTTAAGAAGCCCTAAAATAGCACCAATCGGCTTAAACATATCATGGATAATCACATAAAGTCCAAGAATTCAATATGTTAAAGCCGATTATCACAACCCCACACTCAATTGTTGCTTGTCCCTAAGCAACGACTCAAACAACACAAACACAAAACCATCCAAAACAATGACACACCACAGACTCAACACTCAAACACTCAAAACAAAACACAAAATTTCCTTGTACTCTTGTTGTAATCAGTAGTTTCTTTCTCAACGGACAAGTTGTGCTTTGATGGTCATACCTATCACCCCACACTCAAGTTCTTTGCAACCATTACCATTGACTAACTCAAATCCATCAAAAACTCAAATAGCAACACTCAATTCAGGTCGGCAGTAGCGGGTGATTAACAACTTATGGTGCAACAGTTATTAGGAGAATCTAACCACATCAGTGAGGTGCATATCTCGTGAGGACAGTCTGGCTTACTCACACCAATCATAAACAATTAATTAAGCATGAGTCTCAAAAACTAACGGGGGACGCCTTTCGCAAACATGATTTTAATTTTAAGCACATCACTACCTTTTATGACAAGGAGAGGCTTTCTCTCTTTCTGCTTTTGCTTGCCGAGAAGTCGTATTTAGTACAAGTGGGATTTGTTTCTTACTACCTGTGACCGAGCAAGAGCAATTTCTGCTTCTTAGCACTCGCATAAGGGCTTCTTTTAACTCCTTATCCTCGGTCCGTGTGGAGGGTCATTTCACACTCTAATGGCACTTCACTCTACTGGGGATCGTACTTGATAAGCAACATCGTACGGTCGCGAACCGATTCTCAATTGAATCTGTCCTCATCCCCATGTGCAATGAGTGATTGCCTCACACGATTTTGGCATTTTTACCCACATTTTAAATTGTTATGGCAACTTTCTTATATTTTACTTGTCAGGTAGTGTTTTCTCATTTTATAAAGATACAGTTCACCCCATCATAAAACATTCAAAACAGAGAGACTCATTGCAAAATCAAAAGCTCACAATTGATGCAAGTAAGCACGGTATCCAAACATATCGAATGGTCAATGTTCTCCACCTAACTACTTCACCAAAAGTCATTACACTATCCTCCCAAAAGAGAATGTTGCTAAAAGAGTTGCTCATTCCAAGCATATCAAGTCAGTCAAAACATTTAAGCTCATTGTGAAGAACCATGCAATTCAACACTAGTGGGGTGATTTTGATGATTTCCTTCAAGCACAAACTCATTTTCAAGGCATCACGGTCATTTACATCATGTTACCACAAGAGTACAAGGTTTTGTTTTTTATTTTTCTAATTTTTAGGTGTTTTTTAGCCATTAGCTTTGCACAGGCAGACTGCTTTTTACACAGGCAAACTGCATGCAGTTTGGCTGTGCTCAACCTAATGGCAATTTTTTTTTGTTTTTTTTTTTTGTTTTTTGTTTTTGAATTTTTTTTTTTTTTACCGACCACATGACAAAAGGAACAAACAATTTTTTTTTTTTTTTTTTTTGAAATTTTTTTTTTTTTACCACATGCAACATGGACAAACAACACTAAGACTCACCACCCCACACTCAGGATGGAACATTGTCTCTAATGTTCAACTCCTAATCTAAACATGCACGGGTTTGACACAACTAAAAAGAAAATTAAACAAAAGAAAAGAAAACTTACCTTGGGTTGCCTCCCAAGAAGCGCTTGTTTAACGTCCTCAGCCTGACGTTCATGGAGCTTTCAACCAATGGGTATGGAAAGGTATCCAGCATACCCTCCCGAGCAATGGTAGAACGCATAACCTCCATCCAGCATATGAGTCACCTCTGCAGGGCCAGGTGTACGAAAATTTGGTATGACCTTCTTAGCTGGCATGTTAGACCCTCTAGTGAGGCGTAGGTGGTACTGCAGCGCCTCAAGCAGGTACTCTTCCTGTTTCAATGTCAGTGAAGAAGGAATAATAACAGGAAGATTGAAATCCTTACCCAAATATATATATACTTGAGGTGACCTGGCAAGGATTTCTGCCCTTGCTTTGACTTCAGAATCTGAGCAGATAGGATAGGTGATAGTTCTTCGGATGGTCCACTATCACAGGAAGAGGGATTTTTCCTTTCTCGAGCTTCACTTTCAAATTCATCATGATTATGGTCAACTTGAAAGACATTAAAAATTTCCTCTTCCTTACCTACTCGGAATGTCAACTTGCCTCTCCCAACATCGATGAGTGCATCACCGGTTGCTAGAAAAGGTCTGCCGAGGATTAGAGGCACTCCCCGATCATCTTCCATCTCCAGGATTACAAAATCTGTTGGGAGAATAAACTTCCCCACCTTCACCAATACATTCTCCACCACTCCCTTTGGAATTTTCACTGATCGATCAGCCAATTGGAGAGTGATCCGAGTAGGCTTAAGAACATCTCCCAATCCCAATTTCTTGTAGACTGAGTAGGGCATCAAATTAATTCCTGCTCCAAGATCACAAAGTGATTTATTGAATTCTGTACCTCCAATGACACATGGAATGGTGAAGCTGCCCGGATCATCCCTCTTTTCTGGTAATTTATTCTGAATCACAGCACTACATTCAGAAGTAAGGGTTACCTTCTCTAGATCAGCCCATTTCCGCTTCTTTGTCAACAACTCCCTTAAGAATTTAGCATATGTAGGCATCTGTTCAAGTGCCTCCGCCAAGGGTATGTTAATCTGAAGTTGCTTGAAGATATTCACAAATTTCTTGAAGTTTGGGTCTTCCATGGGCTTCATTAACCTTTGAGGGAATGGTGCGGGAGGTTCATAAGGCTTTAGCTCTTCGTTCTTCAATTTTTCCACTTTTTGAGGTACACGGGCAGCATGCTTTTGCACAGGCAAACCGTTTTCATTTTGCCTGTGCAAGGCTGATTCTTCATTTTCTGCACAAGATCTTTCTCCCGGTGCTTCCTCTTCTGCCTCAGGTGCTTTTTTCGAGCTGCTAGGGTCTTCCAAGGCCTTTCCACTCCTCAATGTCACTGCTACAACCATGGCATCCTTCGGATTCCTCTCAGTATTTGCTGGTAATGTCCCAGGAATCCTGCCTTGCATATCTGCCAAAGTTTGAGCCATCTGTCCCATCTGCCTCTCCATAGCTAGCATAGACGATTGTAAATTATTGTTGATGGCTAGCTGTTGAGTGACAAATTGATCCAGGCCCTTGAAATTATTGTCTGTTTTCTGCATATGAGCCAAAATCAACTCCTCCAGCTGTGGCTTCTTCTCAGGTTGAGGCTGCTGCTGTTGAAAACCAGGAGGTGGGATGTTTCGAACACCAGTTGGGTTGTTGTTTGCCCAGGAAAAGTTAGGATGCTTCCTCCATTGCGGGTTGTAGGTATTTGAATACATACCACCCTGGCCTTGATTTTGCTGATTGTTGATATAGTGCACATCTTCCAACTGATCAGCTACCAGTGGACATAGATCCCTATGATGAGCACCTTCACATAATTCGCACAAAGCAACCTCCTCCTGTCTACCAAGAGCCATCTTAGCCAGCCTTCGTTCGAGTGCATCGAACTTGGAATCCAGCTTAGCATCAATTTTTGCTTCTAAGCTTGCAACTCTGTCTATCTCATGCAAGCCTCCTCTCCTTCGAATGCCGGTCTCACTACCCCATTCAGTATCTTCAGAGCATATCTTCTCCAATAGTTCATAAGCTTCTGGTGCTTCCATTCTTGTGAAACCATTTCGGGAAGCATTATTCAGAGCATCTCGAAATTGTCTTCTGATTCCGTTGAAGAAGATGGAGATCACATTCCAATCTTCAAGACCGTGGCTCGGGCATCTCATTAGAAGCTCCTTATAGCGCTCCCATGCCTCGGTCAGACTTTCATCCTCAGCTTGTTTAAAAGTGACAATTTCCTCTTGCCTCTTCATTGCCTTGGCAGGAAGAAAGTACTTATCCAAAAAGGTCTTCTCAAGCTGACCCCATGTTGTGATGGAACGGGGTGTCAAGTTCTGGAACCAGTGGGATGCATTCCCTAGCAGAGAAAATGAGAACATCCGAAGACGGATGGCATCATCAGACACAGCCGGGCTCTTCATAGTGTCACAAATGCTTGCAAACCGGCGGAGATGTTCATGAGGATCCTCGGTGCTGGCCCCAGAGAAGGTGTACCCATTCGTGATCATATTGATGAAGGCTGGGGCAATCTCCATGTTTGCATCCCCAGCCGGAATGACAACACATGAAGCTCGGGCTCCAGTCCTCCGATTCAGATGAGCCCTGATCGAACGATCCTGTTCAGCCATGATGACAGGCTCGATGACGCGCGGCGGTGGTGTAGGGATGACAGGTGGTGTCACCTGCCTTCTCGGTTGACGATTCTGAGTTAGGGAAGGCCTAGGAGTTGTGGATGTGGTAGGCTGCTTCCCTAACTTGACCTGCTTCCTGTTCTGTCGGCAGGTCCTCTCGATCTCGGGATCTAGTGGCAGTAAATTGCCAGTCGTCCTCCTTGGCATGCACGAGGAGGATTAACCTGAAAAATTCACCTGCACACTAACACCCAGATCAAAACAGTTCACTCACAAAAATCAACAAAAATAAGGTATGGCAGTCCCCGGCAACGGCGCCAAAAACTTGATAGGGCAAAAGCGTATGCCTTAATCCTATCTTGTAGTAAAACCGGAAATCCGGGTATCGTCTCTCAGGGACTGGTACAACCTTATATTCTATTAATTCTATGGAGCAAACTATAGGTGAAAATGATTTGAGTGATGAAACTACTAGCTAATAATTAAATAAAACAAGCAAATTAAAGTTGTCGGGAGAAAATCAATGGGAGAAAGCTCTGGGAGAAACACCGGGATTCACTACCTATCCTATCCAGATTAATTCACATATTCCAATCAATTTAATCCATACCTCTACAGCCAGGATATCACTACTGTGCTAGCTATCCCTGTCGGGAATTACTACGTACTAAGCAATTAATTCAAATCCTACTGTCGTAGCTCAATGAGTTAATTATTTAGTCTGAAGACCGATATCCTAATTAAGACCGCATAGCACCTTATTTAATCCACTGTCGCTTCGATAAGTTACTATGTCACATGAAATATGTTCAGTTATTAGGGTTTCACTGTCGCTAATAACCTAATTAACTACGATTCATTGTATTGGTGGCCAGTCAACACAAAGCATTAAGAAATTTCATGCAATAGAGATTGGAAGAAAAGAATCATGAATCAATCCATCAAATCAAGAAATAGCTACATCCTATGGTGTTTCCCCCAGAAATTGGGGTTTAGTTCATGACGAAATTAAGATAAATCGATAGGGTTTTGTTCATCATGTTCTAAATCAACAATACACAACTAGTTCGGTTAAGAGAATCCAACCAACTAATCGCTCTCGTTGAACTCAGCTCAGGTAGCCTTGAAAATCTCAATCGCCGATGGAAATCGACTGATCGCCTTTTGCTCTGTTGCTGTGCTGCGCCGCTTTTCTCCCCAAAGAGTTCTCGCCCCAAAAAAAAACCTTCTGTCGCCTGCTGCGCCTCTTGTCCAATCGCTCCTTGCCTACCGCCAGAGAATTCCTCCCCTCATATTAATTCGCCTCCAGCTCAATTAGAAGCTCCGGCCCAAATATTGTCCCTCCACAAAAATCAAGTCCCCTCTCTCAATAGAAAAGCCCAGCCCGCCAGTAAATTCCGTGCCCCTGGAGAATTCCTTTCATCAGTCATTTTCTTCCGTCCAAAACCAAAGTCTCCGGCCCATTAATTGCTTCCCCACTTTCATTAATTACTTCCCCCATCATTCCGTCCAAATTTCCCCACCTTTTGGTCCAAGTCCCACCTCTCAATAGAGGCTCGGCCCACACAAAAATAGTCCTCCCTAGCCCATGTTATTAATCACCATCCAGCTGGGCTTAAAGCCCAGCTTTCGAGAAATGTTTATCGGTGCAACGTCTTTTTCGTGTTTTCTTCACCTGTAATACATCAAACTCATAGCACTTAGCAGTAATGGTTTTTCAACCATTCTCGGGTTAAGAAGCCCTAAAATAGCACCAATCGGCTTAAACATATCATGGATAATCACATAAAGTCCAAGAATTCAATATGTTAAAGCCGATTATCAGTTTGGTTGTTTGTGTGCTTGGAGCCTAGTCCACTGTCCAAATTTCGATTTGAGGGCTCCAACTACGTGTTTCCTTGCAAATTGCCTGCTCAGTATGCTTTGAATTGACAGTCTCTATAGTAATGTGCAACCTAGGGAGGTAGTGTAGCACTATGGAGGATGTTGAAGTATAAGATTTTTCCTATCTAGCTCTCTGCTGTGTCAGTTGATTTTGTGAATTAGTGGAGCTAAGATCGTTGAATTCATGTGGTAATATGGACTCTGTTTGGATTGTGTTATGACTCGTGTATCGAACAGGGTGCTCATGTGAAAAATGAAAAGTAGTTGGTCCTCCATGTCGAAATCATTGAAATCTTAAACATGGGGTAAGCCCAACGTGTGTGGCACCGTTCATTGCACAAAATCGGATTTTGGAAGAGATTTTAGTGATCCTTAGTGGGGTACTCCTACAAGGTGAAGCTAAGCTATCTCTAGTACAAGTAAAATTTTCACCCGTTGAACGGTTTGCCTACTCGAGGATGTGTTTTTAAGGGCACGGATAGAGCTTCCGACCCCCCTTAATTTCATTGACCCTCCACACAAGTTGAGGAAAAGGAGTTAAAAGAAGTACTCTGGCGAGCGCCAGATGTACAGAAATTGCTCTTGCTCAACTAATAAGGGTCGACCGTGCAAAAGACTGCAGTTGGAACCCCCGCTAAGTGAATAAAAAGAAAAAAAAAGTAAGTAAAATGAAAGTGAAAATGGGGTTCCAACAGTGAAATGAAGTGAAAGAGCACCCCGGTACAACGAGTACTTGGTTGTGAATGGTGTGAGTCCCTTTATCCATGAACTGAATGTCTTACTTCTACTTCTTCTCATGGTCCTGGCTTGAGTCTAGTACTCGTATTGAGAGAGATAGGGAACGTCTTAGAAGACCAGTTGACCTCGTAAGCTGCTATATGATCTAGGAAATCCTCTACCGACGATCGGGGTTGTATGTTGCTATAGAGGTCTGGAGAGCTGCATTGGTTTGAGTTAGGTTTGCTTGGGGACAAGCAAACAGTTAAGTGTGGGGGGATTTGATGACTCGATATTTGCACATGTTTTTTCCTTTGTTTCTTGATCGTTTAAGCTTGCATTATCGCTTCTTTGGCCTATTTTACGGTAGGTTGTGTTCCTTTGTCACATTTCAGGCCCTAGCACATAAAGTGAAGCGTAGGCGCAAGTTTCAAGTCAATCGGAGATCATTTGACAATTCGGGAGAAGAAACACGAGCATGACCTGAGGAATAATGGATTTCTACCTCATATAATGGACAAATTACCATAGAAGTTTGTTATGAAAAGAAAGAGGACGAGACTACGAGCGTCTGGGTTTAAACGGCGACTGATTTGGAGTCCGGACGAGGGAGAAACGAAGCTTTGAACAGGAGCAGAGGAAGAATTACGGGCAGGAGAATTACGACCGTAATTTCCCCTCCCATGCCCGTAATTTCACTGCCGAGAGGAGCTTTGGGTGCGCTGAAACTTAACCAAAACGCGTGTTTTGGGCAAAATACAGGCATGGAAGAATTACGACCGTAATTCAGCCCGTAATTCGCCCAGAATCGGGTTTTTGAGGCCAATTTCGAGCCTGGAGAGAGAGAGAGAGCTGGGTTTTGGATCCCAAACACCCAAGGGACGAACTCTAGAGAGAGAGAGAGCGACTTGGGAACATTCTTGGAGCTATTTTGGAGGATTTCTTCGCCATTGGAGCTCGGGAATCAAGCTTGGAGATGGAGATTGAAGATCTAGATCAGATTTCTGCAGTCTCTCTCTTCTCTATGGAGTAACTTCCCTTCACTTAGGTTTTGAGGAACCCTAGTTCCATGAGTTAGGATCTTTCTTGTATGAATTTTTGGATGCTATATTGTTTGATTATAATCGAATGATGCATGTTTATTGAGTCAATTGAAGTCTGATCAACTTTTCCTGATTCCTGCTGCAATCTGAGATAGATAGAATCTGATTAGGTTGCTAGAGTCTCATCATTCGGTAGTAGAAGATTGGCTATACGAGAGTTCTGTGCTTATTGCTTCAGCTTTCTATCCCGGTGAAGACTAGTCGTCTGCCAGATAGTTAGACTGAGAGGGCTTGGTCAGCTTAAGAGATTCCAAGCTACTGTCGGATCTTCCGCAGTTTAATCAACAGTAAATCAACCAAAAGGAATTACACCTTGGACCTAATTGATGAGCTAGGGGGAATCATACCTAAGTGAGTTCCCAAACTGTAATTAGTAGTTTTAATTAGTTTACTTAGTAGAGTAGTTTAGTTAATCAATCCTTAATCTAGTTTGCTAGATAATGAACTGAAGCTGAGTAATAGTAACTCTAGAGACCTGTGGATTCGATATTTATTACTTGTGCCACTATACTGCAGTCCCTTTCATTGGTTACACTTGGCCATTGTTAGGTGTTGTGTTTTAGAGCATCAGAGACAAAGGCGCCAAGGCAGTTACTACGACGGGGAGAAGCGCGAAATATAAAGATTGGGAAGAGAGAGAAGCTCGGGACGGCAAAATCAAATCACAACTGCACCGTCACAGAATTTATCTTTTTTCTCTCTAGTTCGTAGAACTGCTCTGTCAAAGACCTCCTTTGCAGAGTCGTAGATCGTAGTAGTTGTAGTCGTAGTTGCGGAGCTCTCCAGAGGAACCTCCATAGGAGTAGAGGTAACGTAGCTTAGAACTCCTGGTTTGATTTTCTGGTTATTCGCCGAACACCCTCGTTCAAACGTAGTTTGGAGAGGTGGTGAACCGAATAACGGTTGTTTGATTAGAAGTCAAAGGTGTATCGATCAAATCAACATCGCCGACATCGGTGGTGGATATTTGACGGTCGTCTTGATTTTCGTATAATCGATCAAATCAACGGCGCCGACATTCGGCGGCGGATATTTGACAATTTTGCTGACTTTGTGTTTTTGTTTCCTTGAAAACAGAGCGCATTGAACGCGCGAGTTTCGCCAACGAAACAAATTGGCACACCTGGTGGGACGCGTATGTTCGAATGGCTCCGCGACGAAGGAATCAGGAAGGGGATGTTCCGCCCAGATTCGTGGAGGAACAAGTGGCCAACATTGAAGGAGGCCAAGGAGTCGGTGCTGAAGACATCGGCGGTTCTGAGAATCTGCTGTCCACAGCTGGGCCGACCGAGCATTTGTCAATCCACCATTTCATGGAGGAGAATCGTCGCATGTTTGCTAGCCTCAACAATGAGTTCGCAGGCTCCAAAGGCGAGTTTGCAAACTTCAAGGGCGAGGTAAATCAACGTTTTGACGCTTTAACTGCACGACATGATTCTCTTGAGTCTCGTGTTGATAGGCGTTTAGGCCAACTCTTTGAAGTTGTGACTAAAAACAGACATGATTTTGATGTTTTTGTGGATAAAAATCTACGTTATATGAATGAAATCAGAGAGCTTTTGGGTAGACCAGTAATGCAACCTAGGGATTTGCCGTTAAACGGTGAAAATAATCTAAACAGTGAAACTGGTTTTCCAAACAACGGGGCTCGAAACAGTCCGCCAAGACAAGGAGTTCCGCCGATACCAATGGTGAACTCACCAACTCCGCGGGTTAATATTGGCGAGACCAGCACTGCCGCTAACACTCGGGTTGAACCGCCGTCATTTCACGGTGGGGGTCCACAAAATACCCCGGAGGCCAGACCCTATGTGGCTCCGATGAGCGGTGGTGTTGGTGGAGGAACGATCAACAATGATCATGTTCCGCCACGCGGCTACCCGCAAAACGTCCCTTCTCCTCCAAACGGGCTTGGCATGGATCCTCGTGGATTCATACCACAAGGGGGGCAACTCGGGAGGCAAGACGTTAACGCTATTCGAGATCAGGTAGCACAGATGCTGACGGATCAGTTTGGTTTAGGGATTAGACCAGCGATGCCGCCGGTATACCGAAAACCATATCCGGATTGGGTTGATAGATACTACCCCTTTCCACGTGGTTTTCGCGTACCTGATTTCATCACTTTCAGCGGGACTGGGGATCAGTCCACCGTCGAGCACGTTGGACGATTCACGGTTCAGTGTGGTGATGTGAGTGATTTCTTGAAGTTGCGTTTGTTTGGTAACTCGTTGACCGGTCCCGCCTTCGCGTGGTACGTTAACTTGCCATCGAACTCGGTTCAAACCTGGCAGCAAATGGAACAAATGTTCCATGCCCAGTTCTACCGTCCTGAGCAAGAAGTAACAATGGCAAACTTGGCACGAATGCGCCAACAACTAGGAGAAACGGTGGAACACTTTTTAACTAATTTTAAGAACGCAAGAAATCGCTGTTTTGTGAACTTGACAGAACGCGAGTTAGTTAAACTTGCTCAAGGTGATTTAAATTTTGAGCTACGTAAGAAATTTCAAGACAGGGAATTTTCAGACCTGTTCCAGTTGATGTCCTATGCAATTAGGTACGAGTCTCTTCTCCATGAAGAAGAACATAAGAGAAGTGGTTCTCATGGAAAATATTTCCCTAATTTTGAGAACTATGGTGTGAATAACGTCGGCAGTGATGTTGACGAGGTTGAAGTTGATTTGGCCAAGAATGTGCAGGGGAAGCCATATGTGTGTGCTTCTCTAGCCAAGGCCGATGGGGAACCACAAGCTGGAAAACCCAATCGTGCTCCAATTCAACCTAGAAAATATTCTTTCGATGTTTCAAAATCGGATACAATTTTCGACCAGCTTTACAGAGATGGTCAAATTAAGTTGACTGTAGGGCAAACTATCCCGCCAGCTGAAAAATTAAAAGGAAAACGCTACTGTAAGTGGCACAACAATGTGTCTCACTCAACTAATATGTGTGTAGTGTTTCGAAACGTGGTGCAGGATGCTATTGAAAAAGGTCAGTTCAAGGTACCGGAGCCGAGGAAGGAGGCCATGACTATTGACACTGACCCATTTCCCAACGGTGTGGGCGTCAATATGGTCAACATTGTGGGGGGCAACATTGTCGAAGCTCTTTTGTACCACAAAGACCTTGGTTCTCAAAAAATTAGGAGAATGGAAGGGGGACCATGCAACGTTGCAGTTTCAAGCACAAAGGTGTTGGGTAAGGCGTGCTTGAACTCGTTGTCCGAGATTGTGAGACCATCAATGCTTGCATTAGGTGGTCCACCAAAATCTGAGTAAGCCACCTCAAGAGAGGGTGACGAAGGCCGAAATTACGGCCTTGCTGGAGGGGTTGCCGATCAACGGCGACGATGCGAGTAACGAGGTGGGAAAGGAAGCAGTGTTGCCGACATTGTAGAAGAAATCTACCTTGGTGCGAAGGAGGATCAACGTTCAACTTTCATGAATCTTACAGGTACGAGTTAACTCTGCTTCTGATTGGCTTCAAAGATTGTGTTACGTGTGAATGTCATGAAATATTGCATGTGCATGTTGCAGTCTTGCTAGCTAGACAATTTATTGATTTTTATGTTAGATTGTCCAATAAGTGAAGGATTGAGCTATATAGACACTAACGGCGTTGCAACAACAAAATCACCGCCGTTGGAGTGAAGTTGTGGCTTGTTATGTTATATGGTTTGAGTTTTTGGTCAAAGTTGTTTAATATGGTTGGCCAGTGTTTACGATGTTGACGAGATAGCCAAAACATCGACATAGAGTAAAATGCTTTACCATGTAATTTTCATTGACAATGGTCACATAAGACGAAAGAAGGATCGGACCAATTATGCTTGTTTTTACCTAAGCTAGCAAGCGAAGTTGCTTGTGGCATGGTTGTTGTATTCTCCTTTAGCAACAACTTTGTTGTGGCTTGGAGGAAAGAAAAGAGCATATTCTCGGCCAAAAAAATTAATTAATTAATTAAAAAAAAGAGAGTTGGCCGCCGCATTATTGCACGATTTGGCCATAAGGAAATTCACAACCGCAAGACTACTTAACAAGGTAGGCTACGTTTGTTGCATGGTCATGAAAGTCAAGAGGCGGTGGCAATCACTGGTTGCCGAGGCTCAATCCAAGCAATGTTCTGAAGCAAATTCTTGGCCTGGGATTGCAATGTTGCTCTCGTATTTAGCAGGTGTTGCTTTGAAGGTTATTTTAGGTGTTGTGGACTATGTCAACAATTTGGTTCATAATTCTTATAAACCAAATTGTGGGGGCATTTGTTGACACCTAAAATTAATTTGTCCTTAATTAAGTGTCGTATTAATTAGTCTCGGCATTTAATTTGATACTGCGGGTAAAAAATCGGTGTCGTTTGGAGTTGAGCGGTATCGTGGAGAGTTAAAACGGTACTGCAAAACAGAAAAATGGTACCGCAAGGAAGCTCAGCGGTACCGCGGCACTGGAAACGGCACCGCTCACCAAAAAACAAAAGAGGGGCCGCGCGTTTAGTTGAGTGTTGGGGAAGGATTTTTGTTTGCTCTAATTAATTTTTTTTTTATTCCTTGTTGGATAGGGAGAAGCAGCACCGCGGAGAGCTAAAACGGTGCCACGGAATTAAAAACGGTACCGCGAGTAAGCCTAACGGTACCGCGGATTAGCAAACGACAGTGTTTAAAATAACAAACAATGTTGCAAAAGGGAAAAAACAATCGGAGCTGTTGTGGCGCTAGCGATGTCGTTGGCCATAGCTAGTGATGGCCGGATTAATTAATTAATATTTTAATAACTATTTAGCACGGTGTTGTTTAGTTGAAAACGATGCCGCAAGAGGAAAGAAACGACACCGCGGATTATAAAACAATACCGCGAGTAGGTCAAACGATGCCACAGCAGTTAAAACGACAGTGTTAAAATTAAAACAATGTCGCGAAGCTCAAAAACTTAACGACATCGCGGGACAAGGAAACGATGTTGTTTAACTAAGAACGACGCCGAGGGGTGAGAGTTTGGCGGCGTGTTAACAATGAGGGCTGATTTAATTAATTAGTATTTTATGAGTATTTTAGACGGTGTCGTTTAATGAAAAGCGATGTCGCGGAAAAGTAAAACGAAATCGCGGGAGTGGTAAGAGTCCGGCCAAAGGCAGCCCGCCAAGCCCAACGACGGCGCAAGAGTAGAGAACGACGTTGTTTGATGGACTAACAATGTCATTGGTTAAACCGGGTCGGGGCAGTTGAGTTGGATTATAAAACGACATCGGTTGGTGAAAGGTGATGTCGTGGTATTGGTGAAACGTCATCGTTACATGGACAAGGTTGTAAGTCGTTTCGCCAAGTTTCTGCAAAGAAAGAGCGGTTTCAAGGGCACGTGATTATCACGCAACAAGGAGGAAGTTACCTGCACGGTTGACAGGAATAAAGACGTGGGAGACAAAGGCGCCAAGGCAGTTACTACGACGGGGAGAAGCTTATTGGGAAGAGAGAGAAGCTCGGGACGGCAAAATCAAATCACAACTGCACCGTCGCAGAATTTATCTTTTTTCTCTCTAGTTCGTAGAACTGCTCTGTCAAATACCTCCTTTGCAGAGTCGAAGATCGTAGTAGTTGTAGTCGTAGTTGCGGAGCTCTCCAGAGGAACCTCCATAGGAATAGAGGTAACGTAGCTTAGAACTCCTGGTTCGATTTTCTGGTTATTCGCCGAACACCCTCGTTCGAACGTAGTTTGGAGAGGTGGTGAACCTGTTTCGTTGGCGAAACTCGCGCGTTCAATGCTTACTGTTTTCAAGTAAGCACAAACACACATTCAGCAAAATCGTCAAATATCCGCCGCCGAATGTCGGCGCCGTTGATTTGATCGATTAAACAGAAACCAAGATGACTGTCAAATATCCACCGCCGGCGTCGGCGATGTTGATTTGATCAATGCACCTTTGACTTCTAATCAAACAACCGTTACTCGGTTCACCACCTCTCCAAACTACGTTCGAACGAGGGTGTTCAACGAGAAACGAGAAACCAAACCGGGAGTGTTCTAAGTTACGTTACCTCTACTCCTATGGAGGTTCCTCTGGAGAGCTCCGCGACTACGACTACAAGCTACGATCTACGACTCTGCAAAGGAGGTCTTTGACAGAGCAGTTCTACAAACTAGAGAGAAAAAAGATAGATCTGCGACGGTTCAGTTTGAGATTTGATTTTTGCGTCCCGAGCTTCTCTCTCTTCCCAATCTTTATACCCCGCCTGCCCAGCCGCCACCACTCCCTCGCCACCGACTTCATCTTTCTCTCGCGAGCTCTCCTCTCTTCGGCGGGCATAGTGCTGACGCTCACTGTTCCGGGCGACAACACAGCCGGTCAATCGTCCCTCGCCCTGGCCCGCCCCCTCCGTCCTCTCCATCGCCCTCTTTGCTCCATCGATCGAATACAGGGCTTTACCTTCTCAGGTGGAATTGTGTTGGCCGCGGATGCCGGAGGAGGAGTCGCCGCTCACCAGAGATTAAAGCCGGCAAATTATTTCATGTTGATCCATTTGTTGCTCAAGGAAAACCATCTTCCAATTCTTCAGAATAGTTCTTTCGATTGAAGCATATCATTTTGAGAAATGGTCTTTTGATCCCAGCAGCTCAATCCATGTTTCCTTTGCTGTATATTGAGAAATGTTCTTATGATCTTTCGTTACAAAGAACTAAACGCATTTCTGTTTTTTGTTGTCGATTTCTATGATATGTCATAATTACCAACTAAACATGTTTTTGTTTTCTATTTTTATGTTGTTGTGGTTTCTCTTGTGTTACACAACCATACTACAACCACAACAACAACAAAACTATACTAAACGGGCCCTTAGATTATAAAAAAAAAGTAAAACTTAAATTAAGAGTTTTTAGGAATACATGAGGGGGTAATTAAGTCATTTCATAATCCTTTTAACGGCCACTTCACAGATAATTGGATGGAAGCGTATACTTGTTACGTTTTAATATTAAAAGAGTATGTTTGTGCAAAAATTTAGTAGAGGGGTACATTTGTTAATTTACCATAATAGAGGGGTACAAATACTGTTAACCCTAATTTAAACATAATAATTGTGAAATAAAGTAAGACACAACGGAATTTATTGGTCGGGACATAACTAGTGGGTCAATGAGTGTGAGAAGCAAAAAAGAATATCGGCCTGAGTTGTGTCTGAAAATGGGTTAAGTATTTCCTTTAAATTTTAAGCAGATCGGAATCCCACTTTTGATAACCCAAAAAGCCCAACTTATGCTCAATTATCCATTTACGTGTGACACACTCGGATCGAGTCGACTTGGTCAACGTCAATTTGTTTGTTCAGACACGTTCAATTTGGAACGTAGAAGTTCAATAAAAAAACTGGAACGTAGAAGTTACGCATTGTATACGTAGCACATGAATAACCGACTCCCCACGTTATAGTAAGCTACTTACCATCTCTATATATACTAGCATTGGGCCTGGCTTGTTGGCCGGAAAAATTTGTTGATTATGTATTTTGTACATATTGTTGATAAATATAATGTTTTCACTTTTTCAATTGTTGAGTACAAAGTATCTCAGTAAGTAGTCCAAATGCACAATATACTTACAACGCAATATATTGAAAAGAGGACAAATGTAGAAATGACTAACAGTGACTATTATTATATTTTACGTACCTGTGAAACCTACTATAGCAAGTAAAAACTTCAAATTACCTTACTTCAAGTCATTGTATGAAATTCCTAAGTTAACTCTTTTAAAAAACTTAATCATCATAAATTCACATCTCAGGGGAATAAGGTATTAGGTTCAAATTCCTTTAGTATCATGTAACATTAAAATTAAACCTATATCACCCTTATATAAACGACTCTTTGAGTAAAGTAGATGTGTTTAAATTAATTAATTAATGGATGAATATAAATTAAACCGAGAGGAAGCTCGAACTGAGAGGCACCTAACCAGAGAGAAAATTTTATCATTTTGACGCAATTACAATTGTATGTGGTGGTAGGGGCAGATAATTTGGATTGAATCATTTTTTTTTCATAACAGAACGTTTGGTACCAAATGAATCGAGAATTCATTTCATTTTAAAATGAATTACTATCATTGTAAAATTAATTAATGTGTTTAGTATGTCATGTTCGAATTTTTAGAAATAAAACGAATTGAATTCCCAAACCGTGTTTGGCATACGTTCATAATTGATTTAATAAAAAATTTCGAACTACGCCCTTATTAAATTAAAAGTCGATCCCTTAGACATATCTCACATATATAAACTGATCTAACTTGATGATGTCGTTGGCTGTGTAGTTTGGAAATAGCATGAGAGTTTGTTTTGTTGCCAAATAACAGGTTGCAGCTTAGCCCTTAGAATGAAATTTGGAGTTGCCCGAAATACAGGATTTAGGGGAAACTATATATATTAGGTTAACATACCGGCGGAAAGATGAGGTTTTGTCGCGCATCATTTGTGTATTGACGTTAAATAATTTGTGTAGAAGTAATTTACTAAATAAATGAGTTATTATAATTAGTAAAATACTTGTGGAATTCATTTCGAAATTTCATCTTACTTTCTCGAAATTGTTATAACTTACTCCAATTCCGTAGAATTCGAAATTCAAAATTGAAAATGAATTCTTTTAAATATCAAATACAAAATAATTTCATTTCCAAACATAATTTTCAAAACTTATGAAATTCATTAAAAATTTTCAACTAAAGAAAAACCTTTATATTTATCAAATGAATATACCCCGCCACCCCAGTTACCCGTACTCGGATCCTCAAATTGGAAGATGAACATGTTGTCTCCAAATTGCGAGACCTGGACCTTCCCATGCCGCCCGCAAAATCTATGCGCCCACCGTCTCAGCTACTCGATTTCCGCCTCCGAAGATAAGACTGCCGCCTCTCTTCACGTACAGCGCGCGGGATGACAAGTGAACCATCAACTACAGTCGGAGCTATGAATTGAAGCCTATTCGACTCCCTAACCCCCAACAGTTGCGTCCAACTAGCTAGGGCGCCCTGCTCGGCAGCCAAAACATGTTTTCGGTGAGAAATTAATAAGGGTGTAGTTGAAAATTTTTAATTTAATTCAAAATTTATGCCAAACATGGTTTGGGAATTAAATTCATTTTATTTATAAATATTTTAATGTGACATACCAAACATCAAATGAATTCTACACTGTAGTTCATTTTAAAATAAAATGAATTCTCGATTCAGTTGGTATCAAACGGTAAAAGAAAATTATCACATTGTTCATGGGGATTAACGGTGACTAACATTTATTAACGGGAAATGAAGACTAAAATGGATAAATAAATTCCCATGTCTAAAAATCAAGGGTTCAAGAAGGCGCTAGGCGTAAGGCTCTTGACTTGCGCCTAGCTCGATTAAGCGTGCCTAGGCGTTCTTGATTACTGCTATAACCAGGCCAGCACTATTGCGTTGTTTTATTTGAAACACAACCTATTAAGAACTTCCCTATGGGAGTCTCGTTTCTTACACGCTAAACATTAGCATAACAACCATTAAAATGCCAAAATATAGCTTCCCCATTCACGCTTGCAATTAAAAAAACTAAAATATGCTACTGGCGTGATGGATTATATCAATTATACTAAGGCCTCCAATAAACCTCACAGGTGCAGTGAGTTTAAGGCCTCCAATTAATGATATTAAAATTTCACCCCCTGCCCGCTTAACATCGCTTCCTCAACGCTTTACATTGCTTTCATGTCAGAAGCGAAGTCTAGGCGATGCTTTCTCCCGCCGAAGCGCTAGAAGCGCTTTTTCCTCCACATACAGCCAAAGCGTGGCATTTTCCAGTCGCCCAACGCCTAGGCTCGCCTTCTTGATTACTGCTAAAAAGATACAATTAATTATGGTAATTTCTCCCATAACTATTAATGTACTTCTAAGTAAGGGAAAAATTCCCGCGAATAAGATCCTATGACTAGAAACCAGTTTTTCTGTAGTGTCTCGCCATCTGCCAGGTCCTTTATCTCCGGGACCCCAATTCTCGGGCCGTCTAGTGTGGGAGTTGCCTGTTTCAACTACATGAGAGCGAGGGAGATAGGAGA